TAGCGCTAAGTGAAACAGCATTAAGCAGGGGTTGCCTGTACTCTATTTGATCAAAAGTTTTGTTTAGGAAGTTTGAATTCTACCTGTGCTCAAAGACTGGTTTATTATATAAATCTAGAAAATAAATGAAGTATTGTCTCAAATTACTTGTCTTTAATGCTGAACAGATATTAGGTTAATAATCTGACATCATAAACCATTTAACCCTTTTTTAACAAAATTATTTCTAATCTACTTTAAAAAACTGGTATTGAAGAGCAGCCGTGGAATTATCTTTTTCTATAAAACTTAATACTTAAAGCTGACACTTGGTCATTTGTGCTGCTAATGAGGTTAATGTTGTATAGTGGTTAGAGAATAGGATAGGAGCAAAGTATGACAGTGCTACTTTTGGCTCTGGCAATAAATTGCCTTATACCCTTAAGCAAGTTATTAACCCTTTTCTCTGACTGTTTCTTCCTTGCTAAAATGGGAATAATACTTGTCTTTCAGGGGTATTTTGAAGCTTAATTAATGTTTGTGCAATGGTTTGAACATATGAAGTGCTGTATATTACAATAATTACTACTGGAACAAGTTAGCTGGTTCAGAATTGAGCAGTATTTTCCTGGAAGTTTTGGCCTGTTCTTGTTGTGCTGAAGATACCAGTTTCGTATAGATTAATATAACAAGGAAGCTAGACTCATGTGCTGGATGTATCTTGTGTTCTTTAGTTAAAGCAGTTCTATTTATGATTGGAAATTAAGGGGAAAAAGTAGGGATTTCTTATGAAGGGAAGAAATGAGATGGATGAATTGCTTTGCACTGTCTGAGATTAGTGTTCCTGAGAGCTGTAGTCTTAGTTTAGGAAGGAACCAATCAGTTGAACTTAATTTGAAGAGACTCTAGGACAGTGTTTTGAAGGGAAATAGAGTACTAAATGTAATTTGGGGCTTTTCATTTTCTCTTCACCTACAAATAATTGTTCTTAATGAGATGCAGTGAGTTTTCAGGGAGCCTACTACACAATTCAGTATTTTTTTAGCTGAGAAAAGTAATTATTGGGAGATTACTTTCTATCAGTGCTTACAGATGGAGACTTTGTGGTGCAGCAGTTTAAAACAATTGGACCCGAGCTCTAGAGATCCCTGTTATGAACGTCGCTCAGATGCACTGGTAAAATTGTGTTTGAAAGCATCATTTTAGCACCAATGGGACAGTTGGCAGAATCTACCAAAGCTGTTGAGATACTCTCCAGACTTTAATTACCATCTCAATGTTACAGAAGTTGGTTAATCTCTGCCAAACAAGAGTGCTTGTGAGGAAGTTAGATCATGCTTGGTCTTTTATATTTCCTTTTCTGACAGGTAAATAAAGGATATTTTAATGTCTCCTCTGATACTGTGATACTTTTGTAAAATTTGCATGGGATTGTAAAAGATTTTTTTCAAGATTAACGAAGCTTTTAATTTTTTTTTCTGTTTCAAAAAGGCCTACATAATGCCAAGTGGAATATGCATATCAAAGTCCTAGCTTGGAGGAAACCAAATTAAAATTCAGTGGATTTCCTTTTACTGCTTGGTTTAAGGCTTTGCTTGATTCTCAACACATGCAAGGAATGAATCTTTACAGACAACTAACCTGTATTATTTTATGTTGCAAAGTTGTTTTTTAAATTAATTTGAGATGGAGAGAAAGTTAGAATTGTATATCTTTTCTGGTGAGTGCCATTCTTGGAATAGGAAGAATAAAACTGAAATTATTGACAACAGTGATATTGGTTTTAGAAAGGAAAATAACACATAATGCAGAACTAACTCTAATGATAGACTTGATTCTGTTACTTTAGACAGCACCCTCTAACAGAATCCATTGAAGGACATTTATGCTCTTTCTTATCAAAGGGTTGGATTTTTCTTCTTTTCCTTTTAGTGGTACTATTCTCCTAAGGCATTGAATGCTGTTTTCTATATCTGCTTGTAATGACTAAGAGTCAGTGGTAATTCCTTTTATCACCCCCTTCTAAAGAATTCATATGTTATTGCCTTCTTTCAGAAGATTTTCACAATTGCATCTGTTAACAGCATTTTTTAGAGAAATAGGTTAACAGGTAGTCCACATTTTTCATTTTCCAAAGGAAGCTTCTCACCCTTCTACCACAGCCTCACCCAGGCCTGACAAGTCTCCTTCCAAATGAGACCTCAGGGCATGTGCATCCGATTTCCAGAGCTCCTGCAGGAAACCATGGTCTGTAACCTGGCCTTGCAGCAGGGGACACCAAGCCTTGCCTTTAGAAGCCTTATCACTTCCCTGGTCCAGACATGCACCATCAGGCAATTAGGAAGCTAGCCAGTTAATTATCTGGGGCACAACTTGTTAGCTGGGCTAAGGACAGAAGTTACACGTAAATCAGTTTACGAGATCAAAAACTGGTTTAAACCTGTAACAGAACAGAATTTCGGTGCACATAAACCAATTTCAAAATGTCTGAAACTGGTTTAAGATAAACCTGATTGAATGTAGTATCATATTTAACTGATTTGGGTCAAACCAGTTTATGAAACTTCTGTCCCAGACCCCTTCCTGGTTTAAGTTAAATCACAGTCCCCCAGCATACCAGCATGCTTTCCAGCCATGGGCTGAGCCATGCTGTGCCATCTGCTCCAGCAGAGAAGGGTTGTGGGGAGGAGGAGAGGGGCAGGGACACCCCCACCTGGCAAACCCTGGCTGGGGTCTCAGGCTAGGAAGGGGGTTTAAACCCACCTTCCTCTCAGTACAGAACTGCCCTGCTCTGCTAAAAACTTACTGAAAGTTACTGTGGGCTGCAACTGTGGACTACAAATCCCAGAGGCACCTGGAAGTAGAAAGAGGAAGAGATGGCAACCCTGCAGAGTCCTACTTCTGTGATTGTGGACTGCAAATCCCAGAGACCTTGGGGGCAACAGGAAGAGGAAGCAAACACGCAGCCCATGCTGGCTACATGCCAGCGAGCCATGCTCTAGTGCTCTCTGGCTTCTGCAGGCGTGGGGCCACTGCAGGCATGGGGCTTCATTTCCTGCATCAAAGGTAAATGTGTGTCCAACTGTTTTTCAGTTTAATCTCTGCAGCTTAAACTAACATGCAAAGACTGAATTGATTCAGCTTTGGGCTTTTTGACTGTACTTAGCCCCAAAGTTACCCAAGGCAGGTGTTACCCTACACAATTAACCAAGGGTGGGCTGTGTGAATAAGGTTTTTGACAGAGGACCATCTCCACACACAGTGAGCCTTCCCCAGTGACAACTTGCTAGCTGTCCCTCCCTCTCACCTGCTTCCCCCTCCCCTAACCCATCACTGCCTTTCTCTTCAGCTGTGGACAGCAATGGCAGACCCAGTACCCTGCAGTCCCTCTATGCCCAGTGAAATCAATGAGCCCAGTGGGGGGATCTGCTTTGAGATCCTGTCTGGAAAGGTGTTTTACACGTGGACAGTCAAAATGTCATGCAAGTGTCCTTGCTACCTGCACCAACACTTCCTAGAGATGGCCCTTATTGGCAGGCATATCAAAGCAAGCCTTCCCAGCCTAGTGCACCCTATACAAGATTCCTGTTGCCAAGAGAACTGATGACCTCCAGTGGTGGCTGCTGCCTGGGGCCTGGTCATGGGCACATTTGTTCACCACCTAGATCATGTGGTGTTGGCAGCCTGCCTTTTTTGCCAGGAAAAAGTGAAGAAGACTCTTCAATGACTTCCGGTCCCCAACTGTAGCCACATTTTCTGCCCTCAGCACCCAATTTGGCGTACCAGATTTTGACTTCTCTGAGACTGTATATTTTCTCTATCCTGTACTGAACAGGCAAAGGGAGAATGTTCTGCCTGACCAATTTCTTGCTG